ATTTAATCACCACTGTTTAGTAAGGTATAAATGGGTAAGAAATACTCACACCAGGCTGATAAATCAGTCAGTGGTTTGGTAAGGGAGGCAGATGCTTTATCTGTGAAGTTCAATTTTCCATGCTTTGTTTCTTTTCCTGCCTCCCCTCATAAGATACAAACATCTCCTCCAGAAAGTCTTCTCCAAGCCAGCAAAGTGATAAGACAACTTATACCTCATTTGATGTACTGAAGGCATTTATCTAAACAGATGAATACATACACTTGCCTTGGCTGTCTCAATGAGTTTTTTACCTAAGAGTCTCAGAAATGGAAAGCACAACCTCCTAGGTTCTGTGACGGCTCACTCTAATCTTCTGTACTCAGACTTATGTCACTCGATAACACTGCCCTAGAAATTCAAGTTAATTCTGGTCACCAACAAGAGGAATCCATATACTATTTTCATTTTCCCCAGCCTTGGGATGGCAAGTTCTGATACCTAAATGAATATCAGAACCAGTATTAGGAAAGACTGACACATTAACTAACCCTGCCCATGTTCTTGGCTGCTTTCCTGTCATGATGCCCTCCTCCCCCCATCCTACTCCTAAACCATAATTCAAGGAACATCCACCCACTGGCTGCACATAGCTAATGTGGGAGAATAGGACTAACACGTGTCAACGCTGGTCAACCTGAACCAATCCTCCGAACAACTCTATGAGATAGGTACTAACATGATTCCATTTCTATGGTGAGAAAACTGATGCTTAGTAAAGTTAACAGGCAGAGAAGTGACATAAGAGACATACCCACTTGCTTTTAATGTTCTTTCTGACCATACAACACAGATGTTTCTCTTTACTCAGAAATATTACTTAGCATTAAACACTTACATACTCATTTCATTTCACCAACTTACTCTGTAAGTTCTTTGGGTAAGCACACAGAAGCAGAAAATACATGGGACTTTGCCATCAAAACATCAGACTTGAGTTCAAATCTCAGTTCAATTACTTACTAACTGAATGACCTTAAACTAGTGACTCATCCTGAGACTCAGTTTACTCTTCTGTAAGATGGTGATGGTGAGTGAAAGTGAAAGTCGCTCAGTCGTGTCCGACTCTTTGCGACCCCATAGACTATACAGTCCATGGAATTCTCTAGGCCAGAACACTGGAGTGGGTAGCCTTTCCCTTCTCCAGGGGATCTTCCCAACCCAGGGTGAGCCACAAGGGAAGCCCAAGAATACTGGAGTGGGTACCCTATCCCTTCTCCAGCGGATCTTCCCAACCCAAGAATCGAACCAGGGTCTCCCGCATTGCAGGTGGATTCTTTACCAACTGAGCTATCAGGGAAGATGGTGATGGTACCCACACCATAAGAACTATCGTTAGAAGTAAATGAGATGTTTGCTGAGTGCTATTTCAGAGGGTGTCATGTAAAAATATTGGTTCCCACGCTACTTGCCATATAACCCAGAGCAAGTCACTTGAACTGCTAAGACTGTTTATTAATCTCTTAAACTAAAAGGAGAAAAAGTACACTCTGAGGATCCAAAGCATGGCTGTGAGGATGAAACAAGATGTGTCAAAGCTCTCTGTAAACTGTAAAGCACTAGAAAAATGTAAGGAATGGTCCCCAACAGAGCTTACCACAATGCTGTGCATAAAATAATTTTCAGTAAATGTTTGATAAATGCTACCAACATAAAACTTTCTTAATGTTGACATGAACCAAATTATCTGAGAGCACTAATAACTCATGGTCAATCTTTATGCCCAGAGAACAAGATGTGGAGTCAATTCAAAAAAACCTGTTAAGAAACATTTTACTTCACTCTACCACACGGACCCTGGACTCTCATCCTCATGCAATATTCAAACCTTCCTCATGAAAGGAAACTAATAAGGAGATTTGCCTGGTGGTCCAGTAGTTAGGAATCCGGCTTTCAATGCTGGGGGCAGGTTCCAATGCATGGGTTCAACCCCTGGTCAAAGAACTAAGATTCCACGTGCCATTGGGGCAAATAAGCCCATACCACAACTCCTGAGCCCACGCTCTAGAGCCCACGTGCCACACAAGAGAGAAAACTGTGCGCCATAACTAAGACCCGACACGACCAAACAAAATTATTTTTTAAAAAGTAAACTAGTAAGCCACGTGGCAAATAACCTGAACCTCTGTTTGACTGGCTTTGGTGTGCTTTTGTACTTTTTAAAGTCAGGAAATTCGAAACAATTTTTACAGAGTACAATGTTACTGTGAAGTAGATAAAACAACATTCAAAGGTTCCACCTTCTGCAACCCCACTGTCCTCTTTCAAGCTTCCTCTTACATCCCACTGCTGTGGACAGACATAGGACATCTTAGCTGCAGTGAAAGTACCAATCGAAAGCAAAACAAGCTCATCTCCAAGAACTGCTAGTTCACACCGTCCTCAAGTTGAGCTGGAATTAAGTATTTCCTTTAAAAGGTCTGCTCTTCCATTTCCTGTTGGGTCAGAGTAAACATCCAGTTTGTATCAACAGGTTTAATTGAACACAGCACTTACTATTTCAGCAAGATGAGCCATCATGTGATGGGATCTCCCACTACACAGGTAGTATTCCCCAAGACCAGAGTTTTCTTCCAGGGATTTCAGGGCACTTTTAGTTCCCTTCTAAAATGCTTAAACAATCCTCCATCTTAAAAACAAAACAAAACCCAGGCTCATGCTCTTAAATGAGTTGAACTTTTCATGTCCTTCCAGCAACATGCAGCTACCCAGATTAGTTGCTGTCAGTAACATAAAGAGCCCAACAGGTTCTTCTAACTGAATCTCAGCAAGAATCACAAAGCATCCTCAAAGGTTCAAAAACCAATATAGCTTACTCATAAACATTTCAATGAATGAAGAATGAATAAATGAGACCCAAAGAGAGCTCTTCAACCTAATTTTAGTCTTAGTTTCGGGCTCCTTTTTCAAGACTTACCTTGTGATAAGGTCTGAAAGAAAAGTAAAGGTTTCTGGTATTCCCTAACCTATTACCTCCTGCTGTTTTCTGAAAGAGTGGGTAAACAACTAGTTTACAATAATGCTAGAAGACAACTGATCAGCAGAAAGCAAAACCTTAAGGCAAAGATAATCCACAAACTAATAACCAAGAACTATTTATCTAAGGTCAAATGTAAACAAAGAACTGCTTCTTAACAGCTCCCACATTTAACAGTCTCATCCACACCACTCCAGCCTCTCTCACACAAATGATGGCACTTTGTGATACAAGAGCAGAATCCTAGTATCTTTTAAATTTGAAAAAAATCTATCTTCTTTCAGATAATCTTTCCTCAACTATTGACTAAAGGCTGTTACTTAGTGACAGACTTCTCATACCCTACAAACACTAAAGAATAACATAGAGCCTTTTCTCCCTTCAACACACCAGGCGTAAGCTATTTTATTTGAACCTTTCAAGATCTCTTCTGCTAATAGATCATCTGAAGATCTCTTAGGAGGAGTAAGCCAGGGTTTCAAAAATCCACAGGTATAAGAATGAGATAGTCTGCATGCAACAGCCTTTAATATGAAACCCAAGACCTTTCTGAATCTGTCCTCAGACAATACTAAAAAAACAAACAAACAAACAAAAACAAAAAACAAAAAACCTATATGGAGCATTTCCCTGGAATTTAGAAAAAAGGGAGCTCCAGATTTGAGGTAACTACATTCTGCCAGCCTCAGTTACCCTGTGTTGTTTCAGCTGCCTGAGTGTTTCCTTGCTTTGCTGAATTGTAGCACACACACTACATTCCCAAGTGGGGCAAAAGAATATACATTATTATAATTTTTATAGAGGGAAAAATTTCATCACACTAATTCGACAGACTTAATGAAAGACAGCTGCTACAAAACTGAAGGCCCAACTTTTCATTCAACAAATATTTATGAAGCACCTACTCTGTGCAAGGTTCTGTATATTCAGTGAGGAACAAAACAGGTATAGTTACCATTCCCACAAAACAAAGTTTGGTGAGATAGAAAAGTATACACAATTATAATCACAAAAAAGCTACAAATAGGATAACAAGTCCCAATTTGCCCAGGATATACCAATCTAAACTTGTCTCAGTGTAAAACAAAAGCACTGCCCTCCTCTAGTCTCGAAAATGTCCCACACTGGACTAGAAATGATACATCACCTTATCTCTGAAGGCTAGAGTACTGTAAGAGAAAGTAATGGAGGCACCACTTTAGCCTGGGTGATCAGAGAAGACTTCTTGAAAGAGGCACCATTAAACAGTTCTGATGGATAAGGCTCTAGTCATTCTGAGAGGGTTTTCCAAGTAGAGAGAACAACAAAACTCTTAACAGGGCTTGGGTACTAATATTGATCAACATGAACTTCGGCTGATGGAACTGAAGAATCAGAAAAGTTATTTCAAAGTTCCCAGAGACCAATTTATATAGCCAAGATTAAAATATCCTAAGCCTCTAAATTTGTTAGACCTCGAAATTCAAGCATAAAGACAAAAATGAAGCTCTATGGCAGCAGTTTTCAAATTTTTGTAGGTCATGAATCCCGCTGAGAATCTGAAAAATACTCCAGATCTTCACCCAGGAAACACATGTATATTCTTGGGTGCACACATACACAATTTCAGGAGGTTCAGAAGGAAAGCCCATACCCAACCCCACCAACACTGGAAGTTCACACATGGACTACAGATTAAGGGTGAGGGAGGAGCTCTCTTTCACAAAGGACAAAAGCTAGCTCTCAACTCTATTTCTCTATTCAGGCATTAAGACATTTCTTAAAATCTTCTGAAGATACCAGGAAACAAAGAGATAAAAACTACAGTGATATATATATATATTTTTTTAAATATGTCAAAACAAGCCAATTGTAAGTCACTGAAAAAAATTAAAAACAAAAAAAAACAAAAAAAACCATATGGACAATATATGTACCATCAAGAGTCAATGAGACTCAAATTTCCCATCATTTTGGAGACCCAGAACTGCCCTCAAGTCCTTACCTTACTAACGTTGAGTGAAGCTAGGGGAGGAGGGGTTTCTGTTCGGTCATTAATTATTTCCACTTCTGAAACATACTGTAAGTTTATAAGCAAGATGTCTGCATGGTTGGGCTTTCCACTGGAAGAGGGACATTCTGGTGAAAAAAAATAAAGTTAAGGAAAACAAGGGCAAGCAGAGCACTGACACATCCCAAAGGTGCATGGAAAACACACTTCTCACAAGGTTGTGTAAAAGGTGTGCCACAAGCAAGAGGGGAAGTCCCGTAAGAATCACAGCTCTTCTCAGCAAATCTTTGCCTATCACCTTCCTCCCGCTCAACCCCATAACCAAAAGATCTCAAGTTTTTCAAAGCCAAACACAACCCCAAATTGGAAGCCTCAACAGGGTTTCCGTCACCTTCTCTCTAATGGTTTTTCGAAGAGGCTTAATGTAGTTTTAAAGCTGTATGTATAGTGTCTGTCTTGAACCTAACGAACCACACAAGAGAGCAAGTACCTTCTGTTCTTGGTATACTTCCTATATCTGAACAGCTCTTTTCACTTTTTCTGATCTGAGACTTTCCATTTTGCAGAGGCAAAAACTACAGCACTGGAAAGGAAGCTCACTCAAGATGACCCAGCTAGTTAACCCACTCATCCATCCACTCATTCTCCAGCCATTTCTCAAAAGTATATTGCATGTCAATTGAAAGAGTAATTCCTCATTCCAAAATTCTTCCAGCTAAACCACTAATGCAAAAGATCTTATATGGTCCAGGTACGAATTCCTGTGTTTAAAAAAACAGAGAAAACGCAACTATTTGAGCTGTAGTTAGTTTCAAAGGACATTTTCCTAAGCTAGAAATCTACAATGCATTTAAATGAAGTGGTTAAGTTTAAATGAAGTTGGTTAAAATACTTGCCAGTCAAAGGCAGCAGACCCAGTAAGAAAATTCCTTTTGAAAGGTGCCATAAAAGATAACTCTTAAAAAAAAAGAAAAAATCCAAATAAATCCACCTGTGGCTCAAATATAAGAAAGAGGTGGTATTACAACCAGGAAGTATTTTGTTTCCAAGATTGAGCTTCCTGGAGTAATTCAGAAATCATTTCCACACCAAAGAAAGAGGCCACTTTTTCCATTCTGTTTAACACTGCCACATTTAAAAGGCAAGGCTACTACTGTGGAGAAGTCAGGATGCCATGTGCTGGCCTGAGCAAAAGATAACTTACTCTTTCACCTGTAACCCACACGTTCATACACAAGCCCCTGAAAAACGTGGTCCTCTCTCTGGACCAGGTTTCCAGTACAAACATGTCCAAAACAGCAACTTCCCAATGACTGAGAAGCCTACAATTCAGCACCCCGTCCCCAGTAGCACCACGCACACACAAGCACCAGCAAAACAAGCCCCTCTCCCCAGTTCTGCTACAAACTCTGTCCTGCAGTTACTCTCCCCCAAACAAGCGAGGCCCATTTGGTCACATACCACCGCCCTTCCGTGGACCACATCCCATCAGTAGACAACCCCTCCTGAACTCCATACCCATGTCCCACTCACTAGCAATTCCTTACTCAACACACCCCCTCCCAACTTAATTTCACCAGCCCCTCTTCCATCCGGGCTCCAATCACCAGCCCTCTCCCACGACCACCCCTCTCCTGATGACTGGGTCCCCTCTCCTAGCGTTCCCCCTGAAAAGCCATCCGCGTGTCAAGTCCCCCTCCACCCACCCTGGTTCGCGGCCCAGCTCCCACAAGGGGTGGGCGACAAGGGTCCCCAAGGCGGACCAAGGGACCAGGGAGAGGGGGAGGGGAGCTCAGGGTCGTGCGCATGCGCTCCGGGCGCCGCGGTAGCCGGTCGCCCCTAGGCCCGGAGAGGGCCCCAGCCACCGCCGTCGTCCCCCGCCCCCCCACCACCGCACACACACGCCGGCCCGGCCTCGGGCTCCACGCAGGGAAGGATACTTAAAGCCAGCATTTTGGACTGGTAGTCGAAGGCTACCACCTCGCCCTGCAGCCGCTGCTCCTGGCACGTCCGGCACGACACCTGGCTCCCAACGCTGAAGTACTCGCCCGGAGGAGCCGCCATCTTGGGAGAGCAGCCGCGGCCGGCGGCGGCGGCGGCAGCAGCGGGCGAAAGCCGGGCCCCCAGTGAGCGCCGCGCCGCGACGCACGGGGCGTGCTGACGTCACACGCCAGGGCGTGGCCTGGACTGGGTGGGGCGGGAGCCTAGGTGGAAGAGGAAAGGAGGGGAAATAAAAGAGGGATCTGAATAATTATGTTTGTGCAGCTGCGCCCGTTTGGTAAAGTGTTTGCAAAGTCCATTTTAGAAATTAAAGATAAATGACCTATGTGGAATGAAAAGGGGAGACAGGGGAGAACTGGTCTCCGTTACGTACACACCTTGACACGAGTTTAATGAATGAACTCTATTTTACATATGAGGAATCCGAGGTTCAGAAGACTAAACGAAACTTGCCCCAAACGATTACACCTAATTACAAAAAGTGGTGGTGGAAAGGACATTGGCTACAAAATTAGCTAAACCAGAATCGGAATTCCACTGAGTAACATGACCGCGAGCAAATTACTAAGCCTGATTCTATTTATTCCTTCTGTACTATCACTATTGAGCATCGAACAACCCTTCGATATAGGAATCAATATCCTCATTTTACAGATGAAGAAACTAAGTCTTACACTAAACTTTGTCCAGGGTTGCACAACTAGCAAGGATTCAGTATGTTTCCAAAAATGGTGCTATCAACTTTTATAATGTATTAGGTAACATTTGACATAGTAGGAGGAGTGGAAGATAAATAATGTGTACAAATGCATGACATGTAGTTACTACGTGGTAGTTCCTCCATGATCACCCATTACCGTTGAAACTCAAGATGCTTCCCCATCACCCCTCTTTCCCTCTCCAGAGCCAGAAGGAGGAGCAGTGGTAGTGACAAAGAAAGCCTTGGGACAAGAGTTTTAGGCCCCCCATTAATGACTATCTAATATACAAAACAGTTTTCTTAACATGTAAGTATGATGGAGATGCATAATGACGATCTAATATACAAAACAGTTTTCTTAACATGTAAGTATGATGGAGATGCATTTTCAACCCTACCATCACCAGTCGCCATCCCTAACCCAACTACCCCTCCACTATAGAAATTCTAGAGCCTCATTTAACAACAGGCAAAGAGAAGATGGCAAAGGACCAGTTCTGGCACTATTTAACATGAACAAATTTCAAAAGTGTTTTCATGCCTTGCAAGGGACATCAACTTCATATTACTACAATCATTGTAACAGAAATAAGTATCAGTTCAGTCCAGTCGCTCAGTCGTGTCCGACTCTTTGCAACCCCATGAATCGCAGCACACCAGGCCTCCCTGTCCACCACCAACTTCCGGAGTCCACCCAAACCCATGTCCATAGAGTCGGTGATGCCACTCAACCATCTCATCCTCTGTCATCCCCTTCTCCTGCCCTCAATCTTTCCCAGCATCAGGGTCTTTTCAGATGAGTCAGCTCTTCGCATCAGGTGGCCAAAGTACTGGAGTTTCAGCTTCAACATCAGTCCTTCCAATGAACACCCAGGACTGATCTCCTTTAGGATGGACTGCTTGGATCTCCTTGCAGTCCAAGGGACTCTCAAAGAGTCTTCTCCAACACCACAGTTCAAAAGCATCAATTCTTCAGCGCTCAGCTTTCTTCACAGCCCAACTCTCACATCCATACCTGACCACTGGAAAAACCATAGCCTTGACCAGATGGACCTTTGTTGGCAAAGTAATGTCTCTACTTTTTAATATGCTGTCTATTTCGGCTTCTTTCAGAGAACTTTCATGTCTCCCCCATGACAAGTCATATGTAACTGCCCCTCAACTTTTCATGTAACATTGTGATTACAGGTTCTCAGGCACAGAGCCAGGCACTGTTAGGAAAAGCTTTCTGGAAGAAGTGAAAAATCTGAGACCTGATGGACAAGCAGGGAAAGAGTGGCCGGGTACCAGCAAGAAGGAACTGCAGATGCCAGGACCCATAAAAGGAGAGAGCTTGGTGATTTTAGGGGGCATAAAGTAGCTTAGAAATATATCATTAAACAGAGTGTGGGACTGAACTGATAAAGGCTATCTTAGCTAGAGCACAAGCAAACTTTCGTAAGACTTACAAAATGTGAACTTTTTCCTTGGGGCAATTGAAAAACATTTAGTAAGGGAATGAAGAGATTTGAATCCAGTTTCCCTTCCCCATACCTTTTTAAGTAGTGAAATTAATCTCTTTCCAATTAGAACCCAGATTTACATCCGTATTTTCACCTCTCAAAGAACTCACGAAGAATAAAGTTGCTTGAGGTAGGGAAGCAACCACTTCAACAATCTCCTCCCAGCTCAACTCTGCCTCTAGGTAAGACCTCACCTAGACTAGCTGAGATTTCCGTTTTCTGTGTGTTCCTCCAGAGGATTATTCTAATTTTTGTCGTAGGTGTGTGCTCCTTCTCCTCCCTCACCAACCTAGCTATCTCAAGGTTTACCTCCCCAGAGGGGTTTTGGAAAGCAAGATGACAGGAGCACGAAAGGAGAGGGGCAAGGCGAGCTTAGAACTGGGAGGAAGTGTGACTTAAGTCTGTGCTACGTGTAAGAACTCTCAAGCCTTTAGAGACGACCCCTCCAAATCAAGAGGCTGATCTGTCGGCCACCAAATCAACAGCGGATGAATTCAAGCAGGAAAGTCTTGGACTGGCGGAGGAAGGTGTGGACCGGCTTAGCCACCTGTGTGTGCAAATTTAGGGTCCCACTTCAGCGCCGACCGGGGATGCCTGGCTTCCCGGAGCAGGGGTTGTCTCTAGCCTTCTCTCCAAGACATCTCCAAATATCTTTGGAGGGTAGCGGTACTGGAGGAGAAAAGTCTGGTCCGGAAGGAATCCTAGCTCTGGATATTACATGTCCGTCTTCACAGCAGCAAAGAACGGAACCTAGACACACCGCCGATCCTCACGTTAGTTTGTCCCATGACCCGGAAGAGCAGCAAGAGCCGCCTCTACGCCCTACGTCCACGTGCCGGCAATAGCAGCCACGTGGGGCTCTGCGGAAACGCCTTCGCAAAGATTTGTCCCCTACGCTGCCCAGTAGAGAGGAGGGCTGGGAAGAGCGCAGGAGGAAACGGTACCGGCAGGAGGCCCGGCTCGCGCGAGCCCAGGGCTGCGAAGGGCGGGGCCGAGGGCGGGGTTTTCACTGGTCACCACCAGGGGGCGGGGCGTCGGTTGCGAAGGGTGGGCTCTGCAGGGCAGTGAGTAGCAGTTTCCTCGTCGCCTGGACTCCTCGGCTTCCGCCTTACATCAAACCCTGGCCGGACCAGCCCGGGAGTCGCCATGGAGTCCACGCTGGGCGCGGGCATCGCGATGGCCGAGGCGCTGCAGAACCAGCTGCCCTGGTTGGAGAACGTGTGGCTCTGGGTCACCTTTCTGGGCGACCCCAAGAGCCTCTTTCTGTTCTACTTCCCTGCGGCCTACTATGCGTCTCGCCGGGTGGGCATTGCGGTGCTCTGGATCAGCCTCATCACCGAGTGGCTCAACCTCGTCTTCAAGTGGTGAGACAGCGAAGCCCTCCGGCGGCCTGGTCCCCCACCCCCAAGGGCCCTGAGTCTTGTGCAGACCCTGATTCCTCTCAGAAACTGCCTCAAAGGCCTGGCTCCCCTCTCCACCCCTAACCCCACCCCCAGGGAACCTTAAGACCTCCCTCCCCACCCCTACCCCATGGCTACTGACTTTTCCTCTTTGAGCATCTTTGTGCATCTTGGACTCAGACCTTAGAGTCCCCATCCTAATCATTAGACTAGTGTTTAACGGGCCTGATCAGATAAATCACTTAAGGGGGCGTGTTTAAAATGCAAATATCCCATCCCACCCCAGACATACTGATTTTAAAACTCCAGGGGAGAGCCTGGGAATTTGTATTTTTAAAAAACATCAATGGTGACTTAAGTAGCAAAAAGTCCTGCTTCTCAACTCACTCTTTGATTCATTTCTTCATTCATTTATTTGATAGAGTTTTTAAGAAGCTTGCTTTGTGCCATGCTTCAACACTGGCTGCTCAGGACCGAAAAGGCTTCCAAGTTAAGGTGTGGTCACCGGACCATGGCCAGCAACATAAGGAGGATTTGAAAACTTGCTAGAAATGCAGAATCTTAGGCTCCAGGTGGCAGCTCCTGAATCATTATCTACATTTTAGCAAGGACCCCAAGTGGTTCGTGTGCACAGTAAATTTCAAAAAGCACTGGGGCTTAAGCTTTGCCTTTTAGGAAACACTTTCTCTTCTCCCTTTTCACCTTCATTCACTAGTAGGCTCTGACACAGACTTAGAAGCCAGGAATCCCAGGCAAGTGGGTAGGGCCCTTGGGGCTTATCTCTTTGTGCCACCTGTTCTCTTGGGTGCAGAAGGGAGCTATACTTCCCTCTGGGCGTGCAACTGCACCTCTCCTCACTTCACCATCTATTGCCATATTGCCAGCCTGGGGGAGGGAAGGGAGTTTCATAGGAGACACTTGAATGGGCTAGAATGACTTGCTGAAAAACCAAATACCTTCCCTTCCACTTCTCTCTACCAGGGCTTCATCCCTGCTATAAACGGTAAAGCAGTTGTCTAATCATTTCCTTCCTACTGAGTTGCCCTTTGCTTTGTGCTGTCCTCCCTTGGAGTCTGTATCAGCCTTCCTGTCTCATCCTGTTCCCCTAAGACCATTGATTCCCACATGGCAAAGCCCCTGTTCATTTCCTAAGTATGTGTTGAGCATCTGGTGTGTGAACCACGCTCAATTTTTGGTGGGGGGAGGCAGGTCCCTTCTGTAACTCCTTTCCCAGCCCTTGGCTTCCTAGCCAGCATCTCTGCTGTTCTCCCAACCTTTTCTCTTTCTGGCCACAGCAGCCTCTTAGTCTGCTGTGTGTTTTCCAGGGTCCAGCGAAGCACCTAGCTAAGCCAGGGGATTTTGAACTGTTTTGTCTTCTTTATTCTCCCTCAGCTTCCCTGTGCATTCCCCACCTCTGGTTTGTTTGCTTGTTTGTTTGTTTTCTTCAATAGAAGGACTTTATTTATTATTTTGGCTGTGCAGGGTCTTCATTGTGGAGTGGGGGCTTTTAATTGTGGCGCATAGGCTTTCTCTAGTTAAAGCATATGGGCTTCACCTTGGGGGATGCTCGGGCTTCTCTTGCTGTGGCGCGTAGGTTCAGTCGTTGCAGCACATGGGCTTAGTTGCCCTGCAGCATGTGGGATCTTAATTCCCCAATCAGGGATCAGACCCACATCCCCTGTGTTGGAAGGTGGATTCTTAACCACTGGACCACCAGGGAAGTCCCTCCCCCTTTTCTTATATTTGTTTTATTTACTAGGTGGCTATGTCAGGTCCTAGTTGTGGCACATAGTATCTTTAGTTGCAGCACGCACACTGTTATTTGCAGCATGGGGGATCTAGTTCCCTAACCAGGGATTATACCTGGACCGCCTGCATTGGGTGTGTAGAGTCTTAGCCCCTGGACCACCAGGAAAGCCCTGCCCCCACTACTATTTTCAAACATGAGAGACTTTCCTAAGTAACTGAGGCTGGAATTTGAGAAATGGAGAAAAGAGAAGCAGCAGAGTGAATGAGGGTTTGGGAAGGAGAGGGAGAGTCAGGTCCCGAGCTGTCTATAAATGACAAGAGCAGAGCTGGCCTTGCAGTGGGAGGGATAAGAATGGGACTTTTGAGCATCTCAGAGCACGCCCACACACACCACAATCTCTTGCCTCCTTATCACTTTTTTAAAAAATGCACACTTTCTCCTGTTCGGAGGTAAAAAACCATGGCAAGGCAGTGACCCAGAATCAGATGTCCTCTCTGATTCTATCCTATAAGCCCTTCAGAGTATTCCAGGTGTCCATCTGCCTCACCCCCATTCTCCTGGCATTTGTGTGTCTGTGTGTGTGTGTGTGTATGTATGTATGTATAGTGGCATCTGCTCTCTTCTAGGTTTCTGTTTGGAGACAGGCCGTTTTGGTGGGTCCATGAGTCTGGGTACTACAACCAGGCTCCAGCCCAAGTTCACCAATTCCCCTCTTCTTGTGAAACTGGCCCAGGTGAGAAGCCCCATACCTCCCTTGCCCAATGTGGTTAGCGTTTGGTGAGTGTTCGATAGTACTTTTCAGCCAGGACCACCTAATCATCAGAGGCCTAGTCTCCCAGTTACTGGGCCAGAGAACAAAGAAACCCAGGGAAGAATTGTAGGAGAAAACGCCCATGCCAGTGTGCCAGTTGCTCACCTTGTATCGACTAGAGCCAAGTTGTCAGGGTGGAAGTCTGAGAGCAGTGACTGCAGGCTGGGGGTGGGGAGAAGGCTTCAGGGCAGAGGGAGCTATGGGCAGTGCTGGAGGAAGGCTCTCTCATGGCCACAGGGAGGCAGCTGTGTTGAGCTATCACCAGGTGCACCTGTGCTCCCACCAAACTCCGCTCCCACCATGAACTGAGTTTCTGAATCCCCTGGCAGGCAGCCCTTCTGGACACTGTATGATCACAGGAGCAGCCCTCTGGCCCATAATGACGGCCATCTCTTCCCAGATGGCCACTCGGGCCCACAGGTACACCTTGGCATCGCCCACCAGTGGGGGTGGGGTGATGGTACCCTGGACCCAAAAGCCCCGCAGCAGGGTGGCCTGGGAGCTGGAGTTCTGGGGACCCCAGGTTATTTGGTCCAAGTGCCTGAGTGCTCAGGGGAGCCCAGCAGTGCATGGACATCTCATGAACCATCTGCTTCTCTTCTTTTTAGCCGCTGGGTGAGGGTGATTCCTAGCTTGGCTTATTGCACCTTCCTGCTGGCGGTCGGCTTATCCCGGGTCTTCCTCTTAGCACATTTCCCTCACCAGGTGTTGGCTGGCTTAATAACCGGTGAGCAGCTGGGGCAACGGGGTGGACCCAGAGGGTGCCATTGACAGTGGGAGGACCAGTGTATGATCTTCCCATTGTACGGCCAACCCCAAGTCCCCCTGCTGACAAACTACCCTGCTGTTCGGGGTGAGGGTCATATCCCCAAACTCCTTGAAGCTGCTGTCACCCTGCTTCCCTAGGTGCTGTCCTGGGCTGGCTGATGACCCCCCAGGTGCCCATGGAGCGGGAGCTAAGTTTCTATGGATTGACCTCGCTGGCCCTCTTGCTGGGTGCCAGCCTCATCTACTGGACCCTCTTTACACTGGGCCTGGATCTTTCTTGGTAAGTTCTGCTTTGAAGCTTGGGTAAGTAGGGGCCTGTCCTGCCTCCCCTGTATCTGGCCTGGTGGCTCTCTGGTTCGCTGTTGTTAAATAGGGACACATTGCCAATTCACATACAGTCTCCTGAACATGGCGGTAGCCCCCAAAGGGATAGAAAGCCATCAGCCCTCTGGGTCCCAGGGGATTCTCTCTCCTGTCAAAGACTGTTGCTCTCCACAGGTCCATCAACCTAGCCTCTAAGTGGTGTGAGCGGCCTGAGTGGGTGCACTTGGACAGCCGGCCCTTTGCCTCCCTGAGCCGCGACTCAGGGGCCGCCCTGGGTCTGGGCATCGCTCTACACTCTCCCTGCTATGCCCAGGTACGGCGGGCACACCTGGGATATGGCCAGAAACTAGCTTGCCTTGTGCTGGCCATGGGGCTGCTGGGCCCCCTGAACTGGCTGGGCTACCCACCTCAGATCAGCCTTTTCTACATCTTCAATTTCCTCAAGCACACCCTCTGGCCATGCCTGGTCCTGGCCCTCGTACCCTGGCTGGTGCATACGTTCAGTGCCCAGGATGCACCGCCCACCCGCTCTTCCTGACTCTAGGTGCCTCCTACACCCACCTCCCCTCTCACGAAGCCCATGCTCTGTGACCTCCATCCTTGGGAGGCGGCTCCGTCCACTTCCAGCCCCCAGTGGGCCCTGCTCATGTTGAGTTTTCTACTTCTCCCACTACCTGCTCTCAGCCCCGAAGAGGGGCCTTTTCTCTCCCAGGAAGGTCCTCCTGCCTTCCCTCCTAAGTCCCCAAAGAGCAAAGGCAACAGTGAGAACAATGGGTTTCTGTAACACTGTGAGGAGCTCGGAGCAGCCCCAATAAAGCCCTTCCACACCTCTGGACTCCTCTCTTGCCTCTGTGAACATCTCCACTGGACTTGGCTATGCGCATGCAGGGCAACCCTTGCCAGACCGCTTGTTCTGCACCCACTCCAACCTTGTGCCCACAGAAGCTGAGAGTCAGAAGGCAAAGCCAGCCCTTTAGCCCTGGGCCCCCTTCCTACCACCACCACCTCGGCCACACAGAGGTCCCAGGAGATGCTGTGGCTGTGTTCAGGGAAACCTTGTTCTTTAATCTACAGGACAGAGATCCCACTCCCTCCCACCCCAGCCTCTTGTTTCCTAAGTTGGTTAGTCCAGGGACTGGAGAAAAGAGTAGGAATCCCAGAGAACAGAGACATTGGCCCCAGAGGGCACTGCCAGAAACAAGTTTATTTCCACAAGGACACACAGCGTAACAGGTTACAGGATACTTAACTGAAATCTATGTCCAGGGAGACAAAGCCAGGAGTGGGTTTACATGAGAACCAGACAGGCCGTGGGAAGAGGGAGGGGAAGGGGCCCAGAGCTGGGACTCAGCCCCACACCCCAGGAAAATCTAGAACACGCTAACACCACACAAGACACAGTGCATGATAAACCTGTGGTGGTGGGACTCCTGCCCCTCCCCTGGCTCCCTCAACCCTGCTCAGGCCCCCATTAGGATAATAAATATGTAAACAGACTGGTGGGGCCCTGAAGAGGGGAAGAAAGAAAGAATATATGGGGTTAGGGAGAAGGAGGGAGGAAGACTTAGCCTCCCAGGAGCTTCTTCCTGTCTTTGGTTTCCCACAGGCTGGACAGCATTCCCTAAGTCTTGTGGGCTCCTAGCCCTGGAAACAAGGCTAGGCGGGGCTCCTGGGAAAGAAAGGACAGCTCCCAGCCTCATCCAGGTCTTGGTTTCCCTGGGCATGGCCCACAAAGGGAGCCCAGAGGAAGGGAAGCTAAAGCTGAGGGCAGGCTCCTGGGTTCTGTCCCTGCTCCTTCTAGAACCCCCACCCACTCTCACCCTCCCCAGGCTTCAAAGCCAAAGGTCCAAGGAGGGAGTTGGGCCCTGACCTTTCTGCTTGCAGTATGCTGTGTGGCTGGGGAAATCTGGTCCTAAACAGCAGGGGGGCTCTCACCAGCCTAGAGTCCCCCTGCAGGGACCGCCTTCTCCCCGTCCCCAGACCCTGCCAGCGGAGGGGCAGGGAGGCCGACAGCTTACGAGGGAGAGCAGGCCTGGTTCCACAGCTCCTCTTGGTTCCTCAGAACCCGAGAGTCCAGTCCCCTCCCTCCCCACACACTTTCCCTCTCTCCAGCCCCTGAGAAGGGGAAACAGGCCCTGAGGAGTGCAAGGCAAGACTGCCCTGCCCGCAGACCTCAGGCCCACATCCTAGAGCACAGAGCTGAGGCCAGGAGAAAGATGGAGGAGACGGGGGCTCTGTGGAGATGGTGAGGACACCAGGAAAAATGGTGAGAATCACAGGGCGGGAGCCCGCCTCCCCTCCCCTCCACATCTTAAGACTGTAGAGGGACCCTCTGGATTATCCTCTGGGGCTAGAGAGGGGAGGAAGGTGAAATTAAGGCATTTCCCCCTAAGTCAGCTGAAGCCAAGGCACCAAACTTACTGTTCCCTCCTCACTCAGGGAGCCCCCAGAGCCAGAAGGTGCTTTCTGGGCCCCGTGCCCACCTTGAGCTGGCCCAGGCTCCAGGGGGAACAAGGACAGGACACAGGAAGTGGGTGTGGGGAAGAACATGGGAGAAGGCCTGGAACGGGGTACCCCTCACCCTCCAGAAAGAGCAAACTTCTGAGCTGAGACATGGGCCACGGAGGCGGAAGGGGGGCCTGAGGCAGCTTAGAGGAGCAGCAGGGGCGAGGCTGAGAGACCCACACAGCACACGTTGTTGAATGTGTGACTTTTTGTTTTTAATAGAAAAAATAAACAAAATCACAATGATGAAGCCCAGAGAGATGGGGGCCAGGGCATCACAGGGCAGGCTCCTGTTCCATGGGCTCCTCTGCCGGCCTGTGGGGACAGCACAGGGAGACGTGTTGAGGCAATGGTCAGGGGTTGGGGGGCGGCTTGGGCGACTGCTGGGAGGTGAGGGGGGCGCCTCACCTGGGGCTGTGCTCCCGGGCTGCAGCCGCCTGGGCCTGCTCTGCCCCCACCGACAGCAAGGCCATGGCGCTCACAGTCTCAGCCTCCTCTGTCTCACCTGCCTGGGCCTCCCGCAGGGAACGGCCTAGGCCAGCAGCGAACCTCTGCACACAGCTCCAGTGTTTGCCTGTGGATGAGGGGTGGGCAGCGGGTCAAGGAGGGACAGAAACCCCCAACCGTATGGACTTCCCCAGCCCTGGTGTGCACTCGAGTTTTTCGCCTCTACTCAGCAAGCTGGGGCCCGAGCCCCCCTGCCTGTCCCCACGTACTCTGGATCTCAATGACTTTCTCCAGCGTGGCCACTGCGTTGATGTTGGGCTTTTGCTGCAAGACTGCCTCGTCCAAGGGCTGCAGCTGGCAGGGAAAAGAAGCAGCAGCTGAGGGTTGGGAGTGGCCATGGCTGCTCCTCCCACCCGACTCAGCCCCACGACAGGGGCAAGCATAGCCTTTTGAGAAACCTCTATTCAGAAAGCCTTCTCTGGCTACCAGCCATCCTTGGGAACCAAACAAAAAAACCTCCCCAAGGACCCTGGGTGCTGCCTGACCCAGGAAAGAGTCCCTCCCCCACCCCGCTGGCCCCTTGGTCCCTGGCCTACCGGCCCACCTCCCTCAGCCCCTCTGTGCGCCCCTTACCTCCACGCTGAGCAGTGCCGAGACACAGGCCTCAGAGGCATCACAGATGGCGGTCAGGTCGTGGCCTCCCTCCAGGGCCAGCACCACCCGGCCCCCTGCCAGCGTCATCAGCTGCCTGGTCAAATGGCCAAAACCTTCAGGGAAGGGTGAAGAGAGGAGGATGAAACAGTTAATGAAAGAAAATAACTCAAAGTAAGAAAGGAGAGAAACACAAGAGATGAGACAAACAGCACAAAATAAGATGGTGGATTTAAACCTAAGCAGATACCCATATTAAAACTCAATGTCGTGGATTGAATGTTCCATTAAAGACAAAATGAAGAGGCTAAGAAGATCCAGTTTTACATCTCCCATCATGAGAAACCACCAATGAAAACACACAGGGTCATCACTCTACAGCTGCATGAGGAGGTACACTCCCCCACCTGTCGGGTCCTCAAGGCCAGGGCTGGCAGAGGGAAAAGGGAGGATGCTGCCAGGATGATTCAAGTCTTAGACCTGCCCCAGCGCTCCTCCCAGGGCTTCCCAGGTGGCGCTAGTGGTAAAGAACCCACCCACCAATGCAGGAGACATAAGAGACGTGGGTTTGAGCCTTGGGTCGGGAAGATCCCCTGGAGAAGGAAATGGCAAACCACTCCAGTATTCTTGCCTGAAGAATCCTATGGACAGAGGAGCCTGGTGGACTGCAGTCCACAAGGTCGCCAAAGAGCTGGACATGACTGAAGCGACCTGGCATGCAAGCACGCACAGCACTCCTCCCAGCTTCCCACTCGTCCCCACCATCTTCACTGCTCCATAGCCTCCCTCAATCCCCCAGCAGGCTCACATCTGGCGGTGACAGAGTAGCCACCCAGCGGAGACAGGTGTCCCTCAACAGCATCAAAGCCAGCGGAGACCAGGACCACATCAGGTGAGAACTCGTGGGCAATGGGCATCACCACTGTCCTGCAAAGGGAGGGCCCGAGCTGACCCTGGCAGGTGACCGGCCAGGCCTGTGTCCCCACAGGGCCGACCCCCTCCACCCAGACCAAACTGTGTGCTTTCTGCCCCTCCCATGGCAGGGCCCAGGAGCTCCCACCCCTCCCTGGGCTCTTCTCAGTCCCCACCTGAAGGCTGTGAGGTACTCCACGTCTCCGATGGGGGGATCCACACCTCCCGTCCATGCCACGTTCACATTGTACCCCACGCCCGGCCCTCCGCCAACCTGGCAGCACGGTGGGGGGCAGGGGGTTACTCTCACTGCCGGGGGAGCCCAGATATTGCCCCTCCCTCAGCCCTGTTTCCAGCCCTCACTCCACTGACCTCTGTTCTGCATGGAGGGGCAGTTGACTGGCGTGGTCCTCCCACTAGGAGCCCAGACTCCCCAGGTTACCAGCACCACCATGGGCCTCCACGGCTCCCTGCCAGGTCCCATTCTGCTACCTCCCCGCAGGCCCCGAGTTTGAGCCCAGGAGCTGTACCTCTTCAGGAGCCCCGGAGCCCGGAAAGAAGTTCCCGTTGTCATAGCGATGCAGGGAGATGTAGAGCACAGAGGGATCGTTGTAAAATGCTTGCTGGGTGCCATTGCCGTGGTGAATGTCCTGGTGGGGAGGGGTGGAGGTATCAGGAAAAACGGCCCAGGCTCTGACCCAAAGGTCAAAATTCGCCTTGCCCCCAACCCTCACCCTATGGTGAACTCTGGGGGTGCAGTTTGCCCCTAGATACAGGGCTCCCATGTTCCATTCACAATGAAACCCCCCCACGCTTCTTTAACCAGGGTCTGTAGGCCGGACGTGGCACTGCACAGAGGAGACACAAAGCCAGGGGATGAATGATGGCGACTCTCTCTGCAAGCCCTCGCTACTCAGCGCAGAGGGGGACAGTGAGGTTAGCCAGAAATTGAAACATTCTGAAGAAGCATCCAGTGTGATGAATTCTGAAGCCCAAGCTAGGCTTTAGAGAAATCAGATCCCTTCTTGCAAAGGCTTGCTCCTGGCTACTTCCCAGCTCACAGGGAGCAAGCAGTAGGGACCTCTCCCTCTGCTGAGACATGCAGGGGTGGAGAAGCTAAGTGACCTTAGTTGGGTGAGTCCCTCAACAGCCCCGTGTCTCCATTTATTGAATAGACATCCTACTTAGGAAGCGAGGTGTCTGTGAAGCAGTACTATGTGTCAGCCCCCAGTCAAGAGGGGCTCTAGCATTGGCAGGGGATATCTCTATCACTCAAGGCAAAAAACCTCCTCAGCTGTTCAAGGCTGCAGGGGATGGAGGGACAGCAGCTAAAACCACTTTTGAGTCTCCCCTAGTGAAGAGGGAGCCCCAGGGGACTGGGAGGGCTGAGCTAACACCCCAGAGTCAGCAGCCCAGCCCCATTCCGGCTGCTGAGGATGAAGGGAAGAAGTTGGGGTGGGGGCTCCTGAAGACTGACCCTGGCCGTGCCAGGCACTGCCTACCCAGTCCACGATGAGAACCTTGCCCACGTTCAACTTCTGCTGCAGGAGCTTGGTTGTGATAGCTACTGAGTTGAAGAAGCAGAATCCCCTGAGGGGTGGGAGAGAAGGCAAGGCGTCAGCCTTATTGGATGTTGGCTCCGGGAGCCACAGATACATACACAGTGTCAGCTCTACTGAGAGGGAGAGGGGGTGAGGGTGGTGGGTCCAGGGCACGGTTGAGGTGGCACTCACATGGCTGTGGATTCCTCTGCGTGGTGTCCTGGGGGCCGGATGATGGCAAATCCATTCTGAAGAGGTATGGACAGAGGAACAGAGATGAGAGGCAGACAGGCGGGCAAGGTGGCCACGGATCGGGGTAGACACAGAAGAGAAGCATAAGCCACGAAAAGAACACGTGAGAAACATTAGTCACACAACCTTTAGGAGTGTGCACAGCCGAGGGCCACATGGGTCAGCAGCGACCTTCTGTGGCCTCAAGACCCACAAGAGCACCAGACGTTAGTGCCTCGCAGTTGCCTCTCTCTATTCCTCACCCCCAGCCTGCCTGGAGCTGTCACCTCCTCCTCATACCTGCACCTGAGAGGTGAGATTACAGAGGATGGTGCCTGACTGGTGCGAAAGCTGAGGCTGCCCCATGCCCTGCTGCTCAGGCAGCAGGACCAAGTCACTCCCCCCACCCCCACCCCGGCCAGCCCGCACACACTCACCTTGAGCTCCCCTGCGGCCACCTTGAATGCCAGCTCCACCAGGCAGCCCACCGCCATGCGCACGGCACTGGAGGAGTGCATCTCATTCCACACAGTGTCGCTGTCCACCTGCAGGGGCAGGAGAGTGGGCTTCAGTGCGCCCCCAGGAGGGCAGGGTGCGAAGGCGGTGCAACCGTGGTGGGGGGAAGGGAGGGGCTGGAGCTGGGAGCACCACCCACCCAACCCCACGGGCAGGGGCCCTGCTCACCCCAATGCCCCCACAAGGCAGCATGGCGTACATCTTCTGGCTGATGGGGCCTGCAAGGAAGAGGGGCAGAGCTACGTTAGAAGGCGCCATCACTGCCAGGGCCGCAGGTGGGCATGTGCAGCAGGCAGAGAGCTCAGTCACAGAGAAAGAAGGGCAGACCCCAGCAGAGAACAGGCCACTGCCGCCCACGCCAGGTGGGAGACGACTGTCCCCCGTCCTGAGGGGCGATCATTCCTCGGGGGCAGGTGGCGGGGAGAAAGGGGCCTGACAGGTGAGGCAGAAGGGCACAGCCCATCACAGCCCATCGCCAGGCCTGACAGGTCTCCTCCCACCCTCCTGCACACACCCCACCCACATGCTGTAGTCTGTGTGAATGGCGCCCTCTGGAGGCATGTGATGTGGCAACCAAGCCCCTGGAGACCCACCTGCCTACCAGGTAATGGTCTTCCTGACAGCCCTGGTCCCATCCAGGCAGCAGACCCAGCCTGGCCCACCACCTCCCCCGCCGGCCGCTCAGCTCACCGAGCAGCTTCTTGCTGTCCAGCTTCTGCCGGTTGAGGGGGCTGGTACCGTAGAGCAGGGTGTGGTACTCAGAGTGCACCGTCTGGATCTCGTCCAGCGTGGCTTTACGACCCCGGATCCGCTGTCGGGAGAGCGGGGAGCAAGACGGGGGGGCTGGTGATTAGGCTGGCGCTGCAGGCCCAGCACCTCTCCCCGCCCCACAGTTCGTGGGCACATGGAGCTACCCTCTAGCCTCAGGAGATCCAAAGGTGGTTGTGGTTTTTTTTTTTAATTAATGGGACATGGCTATTCTTTTTATTTTTGGCCATGCCATGCAGCACACAGCACACAGTTTCCCAAGCAGGGATGGATCCTGGGTCCCCTGCATTGGAAGCACCGAATCCTAACCAGTGGCCCTCCCGGGAAGGCCCAGGATATGCAAAGTGTTTTGAGAAAGTATGCCCTGGTCCTCCAGGGACCCCAGCCCAGGACCCTCCCCCATTCAGCTGGGGACCATGGGGGCACCAGACCATAAAGGATGGAAGTGGGAAGCACATGGGGGCCTGGCCCTAAAGTCAGGGGTTGAAAAGAGAATGAGGAAGAGACACAGACAGAGGCATCCTCAACAGGAGAAACACGAGTATTTTCGCGGGGTTTGAGGTGGAAGCTGGAAGGCGGCGGGACCTCCTTACCTCACACTTGCTGAGCAGGCCTGTCTCCTGCAGCCGGGACCAGATGCTCTGGATCCGGCCAGCATGCTCGGGGTGCACGTGTGTGTTCCCGCACATGCACTGGTGCTTCAGCATGAACGTGTCGTAGACCACACCTGGGCCGGACACACACCTATCAGCCAGCACAGCTTCGGGCCGGCCTGTGCCAGCCTCAGCGGAGCTCCCCGAGCTCTCCCTGGCCCACCCTGGTCGCAGCCCCTCCTCGAGGCCAGCTGCCCTCCCACATGCCTGCTCCTCTTCTCTTCCTGAAATTCCTTTCCCCCATCACCGCCTATCAGCAGTCTCCCTGCTCCTCAAGCCTCCACCAGGCTGCCTGACACCACCATCTGTTTTAACCTCACAGCACCTCCTACTTCCCTCTGTCCCCCGTCAGAGCCTCTGTGTGCTCCCCCCCACCCCTACACCCCATTGGTGAGTGGGGACCATCCTCAACTAAGGTCCGTCAAGGGGACCATCGGTGCCCCTACAGAGCCCAGCACTGGGCGGTTTCATGTGGAAGAGCCTTCCACGATGGACTGAGGCCTCACTCTCAACCTCAGAGGGAGGGGAAAGAGCTAGAGCAGCACGACTCACTGGGACAGCAGGCTCCCTGCACCCACGCCTCCAGGTCAGAGGCAGCGAGGAAGCAGTATCAGTGGTCCCTCGGTGTGGGGCAGGGGGGCCCTGAGAAAGCTGCTGCCCCCAGAGTACACAGACGTTCACCCCCACCTGCCCAGGGAAGCAGAGGCTGCCACCACGACCACAGGTGGCTGTGCACACAGGGAGACAGCAAGGCCTGTTTTCCCTTCCCTCAGGGTGCTCTGTCTCATCCCTTCACAACGCCCAAGACCGGATGCCATGTCATGCACAGCATGCCACCCCCCCACTCCCCACAACACACACAGTGGGAAGACGGCTAATGGGGGAAGGCCTCACCTGTGGTGAAGAGGTGCTTGGTGGGCTGGTCTGGGGGGCTCTTCATGCCCCCAGGGGCAGCAGGTGAGGACTGGGTGCGGCCCAGGGCCTGGTGGGGCACAGTGGCCAGGCTGAGGGGTGCCTGGTACACCTGCAGCGGCTGCAGCTGCTGGGTGTCTGCAAATGCCTGGGAAGGAGAGAGCAGGATGGAGCCTGGGTGAGGCTGAGGCTGCAACAAAAGTGAGGACAGGTGCCCTGGGGCCCCCCGGGGGCGGGGGGGGGGGGGGGGGAGCTGAATCCAGCCCTTCTATTCCAGATCTCCTCCTTCCTCCAGCTCCTCCCTCCAGGGACAGGAGACACTCCAGTCTTAGCCATCTCCATCTTCATCTCCATCCCCGAGGAGATGGGGAGGGATGAGGGGGACGAGATGAGTCACGCTACCGGAGTAACATTGAGGTAAGCGGCTGGGAGGGACGGGGGCGTGGGAGGGGGTGGGATGAGTCAGGCCCCGAGGGCTCAGCTGTGTCCGCCATGAATGGAGTGTGCGCTCGCTCGGCGCCAGGGCAGACTGTAGTAACAGCGGGGGCGGGTGTGTACACACGCACACACGCAGAGACCGACGCACAACCGGCCCTACGTAGGCAGAGACGCAGATATACACAGACCACGTGCATCCAAGTGTGCGTGCGCGCACGCACACACACACACACACAGAAGCAGACAGGCGGGGGCAGTCACAGTCAGAGGGAGGGGCTGGCAGACGGGGCAGAGAGAGCTCTAAGACTGACACCAGCTCTCTCCCGTCCACAGCCCCTTGTCTCTTTCCTGCTCCCCTGGGCACAGCCTGGAAACTGCAGACTGCGGAGAAGGAAGGGCAAGGCAGAAAGAAGAGGCGGGAAGACAGATGGGTGGTGATCAAGGGCCGGGGCGCAGGGGGCCACCTTTTTGTAACCAGCACTGGACTCCTCCAAGTCGGGCCCCTCTTCAGCACCGCTCTCGCGCTCCTCGTCCTTGACCTGGATGCAGTCCTCCTCCTCCTCCTCCTCTTCCTCCTCCTCCTCTTCCTCCTCTTCCAGGTCTTCCTGGGTGCTCTCACTCTCCGTGGAGCCTTCTCGGGGTATGGTCAGGGCTCCCTCCCCCAGCAAGGCCTCCTGCTGCTCCGTCAGCTCCTCCTCCGTCTCCTCGGGGTGGGTGGTGGGCTGCCGTGGCAGCTCCCCTGTCTTGGTAAGGATCTGGAAGCAGAGCCAGGAGGCCCATCAGCTGGGAGGGGGGCGCAGCCATGCAGCCCGAGGCCCCGGAGAGTCTATTCCTGCCCTCCTCTCTCCCTAGCGGCTGCCCAGCCCATACAGAGCTTTGATGTGGACAGAAAAAGGCAAAGTGGGGACTTCCCTGGTGCTCCAGTGGTTAAGAATCCACCTGCCAATATGGAGGACCATAGGTTCAATCCCTGGTCCTAGAACTAAAATCCCACGTTTCAGAGGCAAACTAAGTCCTTGCACCATAACTATGGAGCCCGCACTCTAGAGTCCATGCCCCACAACAAGAGAAACCACCACAGTGATAAGCCTGTGCACTGCAACTAAAGAAAGCCTGCAGCCAAAAATAAGTAAATAAAATGTTTTAAAAATAAATATCCCCCCCCAAAATAATACAATATATTCTCTTTAAAAAAAAGGCAAGGTGACTCCTCTGATGCAGCAAGGAGTGGCCGAGGAGATCAGAGGCGCCTCCCTCTCTGCCAGCCTGGCACCCTGTGTCCTGCCCCTAGCAGAGCCCTGGATGTCGGCTTCTCCCGGGTCACCTTGCCCAGCCAGCCCAGCCCCCTTGTGTCCTGACCCCAGCACAGCCCAGGATGTCGGCTTCTCCCAGCTCACCTTGCCCAGCCAGCCCAGCCCCGTTGTGTCCTGCCCCCAGCACAGCCCAAGATGTCGGCTTCTCCCGGCTCACCTTGCCCAGCTGCAGTTGCTGCTGCTTCTGCTTCTCCAGGAACTGCTGGTGCTGCTGCTGCATGACCAGCTGCTGCAGGGCCTGGGGGCTCTGGGGCAGCGGCGAGGACTGGGTGCGGCTCAGGGGCCGGTGCCGCGGGAGCTTGCCCACTGTCCGCATGCTGGTGGCCACGCGCTCACCCGTCACCAGCGGGGACTGCCCGTGGAGCGGCACTGTGAGGTGGGGGAAGAGGAGCAAGCATTACTGTTAGGGCACCAGGCTCCCCACAGCCACCCCAGACTTTCCTCCTTCCGGAACAGCGCCACCTACCGCCTGGGGCGGGGCAGGTGGTAGAACCTGGGAGGGGCCTGGAGCACCTCTGCCCCCAGACCTGAGCCCTATTCTTCCTCCTCCCTACACCTTAACAAAGTCTTTTTTTTTTTTAAGGACACCTTAACAGTCTTTCTGCTCAGAGCCACCACCTCCAGCAAGCCTTCCTGGATTCACTGTTCCCTACCTTTAATTTGTTTAGTCAAACTTTTACGGTAGGCCCAGGAACATTTTTACCAATCTATCAGAGTTCCTGGGCTTCTCTGGTGGCTCAGATGGTAAAGAATCTGCCTGCAGTACAGAGACCCAGGTTCGATCCCTAGGTTAGGAGAAGGGAATGGCAACCCACTCCAGTATTCTTGCCTGGGAGAATGCCATGGATAGAGGAGCCTGGCAGGCTACAGTCCACGGGGCCGCAGAGTCAGAAATGACTGAGTGACTAACACACACACACACTACATACTCCCTTTAATTCACTTATGACTACACAGATTTGGGTCCTCCATGTGCATGAACAATGACTAGTTCTCCCCAGCTGTTAGACCTCCCTGATCATGGACATGGATCCCACCCAGCTGAGAAGCCTAGGGGCCAAGATCATGAGACTTTTAAGCAGAACCTCTTCTGATGCTGCCAGATCCTTACGGGCTGTCTGTCTACAGCTGTGCTGTCCAATACCATAGCTGCCAGTCACACATGACCACTGAGCACTTGCAACATGGCCTGTCTAAACTAAGATGTGTTCTAAGTATGAAATACCCACCAGGTTTAAAAGACAGTATGAAAAACAAAATAAAATATTTCACTGCTAACTCTTTACATTCATCATATGTTCCAATAACAGTATCCTAAATAGACTGAGTTAGGTATATGTTATTAATTTCACCAATTTCTTTTTGCATTTTTTAATGTGGCTACTAGAACAAACACTTTAAAGTACATGTGCCATTTGTATTATATTTCTACAGGATGGCACTGCCCTGGAATAGGAGCTCCATTAGGATGGCAGAAGTCAAGTACAGCGCCCGGCTGGCTGCAGAGACTCAATAGCATCTGTAGAAGGCGGAAAAAATCAATGATGCCATTGAGGGGAGCTGTGAAACGTCTGGTGAGTATCCCTGGCTACTGCTCCCTGACAAGTGGTCCCTCCAGCTGAGCCCTCAGGACGGGGTCTGGCCACGCCCCCTCACACAGCTGCCTGCCACTCACCAGCAATGAGGGTGCTCTGCTGCCGGGCTTGTTCCAGCAGCAGCACATGCTGCAGCAGTGAGGCATGCCCATGGGGGCTCGAGTCGCCCTCCAGTGCCACGCCCAGCAGGCAGCCGGGGATGGAGGATGTGCTCATAAACTTGCCAGTCAGTGCACCGCCCTGCCTCAGGGACTGGAGGGCCTGCCTCTCGGCCTCCTGCTGCGTCGACAGCTTCGGGGAGGCCTGGGGTGGGATGGGAGATGGCGCTGAGAGAAGGGTTTATACTGCCCTCCAAGGTCTGCCAACACTGAACCAGAATCCCTCACCTACGCCCTGCCCACCCCCACCCCCAACTTTGGGGAGGACCTTCTGATCTCCCTCAGGACCTTGGGAGGACAAAAGCGCCAGCTGGGGGCATCCAGGACCAAAGACCTCAACACCAGAGAGGACGTGCCCCATACTCACGGTGAGGTGCGAGTTGGTGACAGTGACCGTGGCCTGCAGCCCTAGGGAGATGTTGGGCAGAGAGGGAGACGTGTAGAGGCTGAACTGGTTGGGGGAGGTGTCCGGAGGGAGGGCCCGGTGCTGGGGGAGCATCTGGGGAGCAGTTGGGAGAGAAAGGCGTGAGAGCAGGCAAAGGACAGCCACCTGGGGCCAGGGCCAAGGCTGAGGGCTCCAAATGGCACCCCACTTCCTGCACCAAGCCCCACCTGGGGGAACTGAGAGGTGAGAGCCATGCAGAGCCCCACGGGACACATCCCACTTCGGGGCAACAGGTACCCCCAGTCTGTCCATGCGGGGCAGAAAAGTCCCTGCTGGGCACTCTCAGCCAGACAGACCGCACGGGACAGGAAGCCACTCTGGCCCACCCACCCAGTCCCTGGTGGGTCCGTACCTCGGTGGGGATGTTGGGAACCGAGCCCGTAAAGCCATTCTCCGCGATGGTGCTGTGGGAGCTGTTGGGAGAGCTGGGGCCAGAGCCTGGCGCGCTGTTACACACGGCGGACACTGCGGGAGAGGTGGATGTCACCTGGGCCTGCTCGGAGCAGCCCCCCTCCCCAACTCCCCAGCCCTCAGAACAGGGACAAGAGACAAGCCCTTACCCCCAGGTCCAGCACCTGTGATCTCAACAGCTCTCTTCTTAAAGGTGCTAATGACAGTCCCGTCCTTGCGACGCAAGAGGGGACTGCTTCTCCGCTCGGCCACCTTCTGCTTTAGCCTCGAACGTACTTTTAAGTTGGGTTCGGAGGCTGGGGAGAAGGCAGCCGGGGCTCAGACACGTCCACACAAGTGGACACACCTACAGCCTGGTTCTTCCACATTCCCACCTCGGCCTAACCCTGCCCCCCAAAAACTCACCTGTTTTGCGGAGGGGGAAGTCATCGCGGCTGTCGTAGGGCCCAAGCAAAGGCAGTTTATAGGAGGGAGGCGTCCCAGGAGGGCCGCTCTGGGGAGGGGAACTCTGGTCCAAAGAAGCATGGTGGGTTCCCCTGCAGGGTGGAGGGAAGGAATGGAGACATGTCTAGGGGTTCACCCAGACTTTGGAGTGGAGGGAGGGGACGGAGACAGGTCTAGGGGATCACCCAGCCAGCTGGACCCGCAACTGAACAATCTACGTTTATGAAACATCCACTGCCTATGGTGATACGAAATGGATCTTGGGGAGGGCAGCGAGGAGAGAAACCAGGAGTGGGGGTCCCATCTCCTAAGAGAGATTGCAATGACTTCAGCCAAGGAGCCCCATGCCAGACGGCAGCCAGGCAGCCCTTGAGCCGAGCACCTCTGCAACCTATGCCTGTTAAGGGTCGTACCAGCATTTGGGATGCTGTGGGAGGGAATGGTTGAGGCCGCCTGGTGTGGGCTCCTTTGACTTCGACAGGAGGAATTCCTGGAGCCGTAGCTTCACCTCAGTGCTGGCGATGGCACCTGTGGGACAGGGCACGGCTGACCCAGGAGCTGGGGGCCAGGAGCCCACAGCTGGGGGAGGGGCAGGAATCCCAGATGCGACCCCCCACCTCGAGGCCCCCCAGCCTCACTCTCTTTGCTCTTCTCCTTGTTTCGAAGGATGAGCAGCTGCTGCTCGAGCCGCTGCTTCTCCAACTCCTCCTGCCGCTGCTGCTCCCGCTGCCGCTGCTGCTCCAGCTCCTGCTGCCTCTTCGCTGCCAGCATCTCCTGCTGCTGCTGCAGGGGCAGTGGGAGGCAGGGTGAGCCGAGTCCAGGGCAGGGCTCAGAGGTCTGGGTGCCCTGGCCCCCGTGCTCACCTTGAGGTGCTTCTGCAGCTGGACTTCATGCTGCCGGGTCAGGTGGTCATGCTGTTTCTGGAACTCAGCGAACAGGAGCTGCTTCTGCAGCTGCTGCTGCTGCTTGAGCGCCAGGAGCTCCTGCTGCAGTTGCTGCTCCCGCAGCGCGGGGTCCACGGGGCCTGCCAGAGCCCCCCGAAGCTCCACGGGGCTGGGGCTGCCTCCTCCCCCGCCCCCCATGGAGCTGGGCATGGCTCCTGGCAGCACCGGCTTCACCTCTACTGCGGAGAGAAGAACCGGAAGGGATCAGCAGGCCATCCGCACTGGGCCCTGGCTTCCATGCCTGGGGCCCAGAAAGCTACTAGGCAGGACTATTAGACCCCAAGAGAATGGGGGATGGGGGTGGGGGAGTCAAATCCCTCTGCTCCGTGAATACAGCCTTCTGCCTTCATTAAATGAGACTGAAGCCATGAACTTCACTACAAAAATGGCATAAACAAAGCAGGGTACCTGGAAAATCATGAGTATTTAACAAAGACGACCACTGGACATTTTATGTGAATTATTTGGCGTGTGCGTGTGCTAAGTCACTTCAGTCGTGTCCAACTCTTTGCTACCCCTTGGACTGTAGAGACTGCCAGGCTCCTCTGCCCATGGGATTCTCCAGGCAAGAATACTAGAGTGGGTTGCCATGTCCTCCTGCAGGGGATCTTCCTGAATTACTTTCATGATAAGGAAACTGAGATTTTAGAGAGGTTTAAGTAACATGCCCAAAGACAGACAGCCCAGGAGATCAATGAACCAAGATGTGAATCCAAATCCTATGCTTTTAACCACCATCCTTCCTGTGCTTCCTCCCCCACCTCTCAACACCACACCGTCCCTGCCAAGAAGCCTATAGTACAGGAGAAACCAAGGCATCGACGTTGGTTCTAAAATTGATGGGGCTAGCAGCCAGGGGCCTCAGTAAGCCTAGGAGAGGTCTGTGGACATCCCCATGGACAATGGACAGTCTATCCATTCTCCTGTTCCCTGCCTCACGCTCAGCTAGGGCAGATAGGGTGGGAGGGTGAGGCTATGGGAACAGGGGGTGGGGTGGGAGCAGGAGGCTGCAAGGGAAGGGGGTGCAGGGCAGCACCAAACCAGGGACTGGAGGGGGCTGGGAGTCAGACTCGCTTCCTTTGCTGGATTATCTCCTTTCAACAGTTTTATTGTAATTACCCTGAAAATGCCGCTATATATAGAGTGAGCCAAACAGCAGCTGTGCCTGGGGGGAGGGGGGAGGAGAGAGGGAGAATGGGCGGGCAGGCGCAGGGAGGAGGTGGGAGGAGGAGACAGGAAAGGAAAGGGAATCAGACAGGAAGAAGGGTAATGGCCCGGGTGCGGGGGGCTGGAGCCTAGGCAGAGATCTCAGAACTCCAGTCCCAGGGAGAACCCGCTGGGAAGAGAAAAGGAGTGGAGGGACCTGCTGGGCCCCCAGACCTTGGGTCCAGGCCCCCACGTGGACAATGAGCCAAGGGATCCCAGGGACTGGCAACAGATTCCAATGGACTTAAGGGAAAAGATGGGTCTCGACCTCTTGATCCCTGTACACTGTCCTCTGTACACTCAATGTCACCACTCCCCACCACTGCCCTGTGGTTGCCAGGGCAACTGGGCAAACACCACGCCAGCAGGGAGCCCCAAACCCAGCCCACACCCCACAAAGCCTCCTGACGCCTGTAGGAAAGGGAAGGCAGGCTACCCACTGCCTGGAAAGGAGGAAGTGAGAGAGGCAGAGCCAAGCCGTCTTGTTCTTTTCCATTTCTTTCTCCAAAGACAGCCCTCACTTTCCCCACTCCAGTCCAGGGAGGTCCCGGGGAGCTGGGAAGACTTTCCAGTGACAAGGAGGCCCACACCAACCCAGGCCTGGAGACGGAAAGATCCTACCCCATCCTGATGGCAGCCAGAGTCCCCTGCCCTCGAAAACAGGCCCAGGCCTCTACCACCATCCCGTATCAGGAGTGGAGAGGGAACCGGGAGGGGGGTGAAGGGCTGAGCTAGTAAGAAAGGCTCCCACACCCTCTGCGGTCTATAAGCCTGGCTCTCTCCAGAGAGCCTGAATGAATGTCATCAAGGCAGGGGCAAGGCCTGCTGAAGGCCAAGGTCATGCTATCCTCATGGATGAACGTGGCCCCCGGGACCCACTGGAGGTGGGAGAGGGAAGGTAGTCTGAGCACAGGATCTCCCTCGCTCCCCACCAGCCCTTCTTCCCCCAACATAGTCGGGCACATTCCTCTGTGGTTTGCCCGCCAGCCACACTGACGACTCTGCGGCCACAAGGCCAGAGCCACATCTGCAGGAGTGGCCAGATGTGGCCAGGAGGGTGGGGTTACACTTACACACACACACACACACACACACACACACACACACACACATCCCAACCCACGTCCTGCCCCAGCACCAGGAGGAAAGACCTTGGGAAACTACAGAGGTCCTTTCTGGAGGTGGATGGCCTGGTCCGGGGTGCAAAAGCAGGGTGCCAGCAAGGAGCCAGCAGCCAGCCTCGGGTGTCCCCAGCCCTGGAAATACCCAGTAGGGCCCCAGGCTGGCTGGAGAGTTATCTGTTCCTCGGCAAGGCTGGCTTGGCCTGTGGCGCTCTGATCGCTCGGCCAAGAAGTGGACAGGCTTCAACCTGCTGCTCCCGGCAGCTCCAGGGCTGCGGGAGCCGGATGCCAGCCCGCCCGTCCAGGGAAGGGCAAGGGTCCAAGCGCTCCTGGCTCCCAGCAGATAACCCTGCTTGGGCTGGAACTGCCGCCAGCAGTGCTGGCTTCCCCTGCCAGAGCCCTGCAGAGAAAGCACGGGCTCAGCCGAGGGGACTCTCCCACCGGGGCCCCTGCGCGGCCGCCACCGCCACAGCAGCAGTGGAGACGCTGGGTCCTGCGCTGCTGTCGCGGCTGCGGCCCCACTGGTATGCAGGTGGTGGGGCGGCCAGCGGGCTCCACTGCACAGTCTTGTTTCCACACAAGCAGGAAGCACAGGCAACCGGGGAATATTAATCTGCAGGCCCTGTGGGGGCCCAAACAGGATGCGGCACCCCCTGGGTCTGCCAGGTAGTAACTCAGCTCCAACCAAGATGGGCGGTGCCGAGACTGGACAGCTGGAGTCAGGGAAAGGGTCGGCGGTGGGGTGGGGGGGACACAGAGCCTCCCGGATGTAGTTTTTTGGGCACAAAACCTAGAGCCTGTCACCCTTCGAGGATCTGCGCCCTCGGCCAGTTTGGCACGAGCAGAGCAGGTGGCAGTGGCGGCCATGAGAACCGAGCACCTGGAAGGGGAAATGGGTGGTGTCATGATAGGAAGCAGCTCTCGACCGCCTCCTGGTGGACGGAGAAGGACGGGAGGACTTCTGGAAAGAGAAGAAAGGAGATGCAAGGACTACTGGTCCCTAAGAGGGCAGGCTGGGGACCCTGGCTAGCCAAGGCCAGGGAAGGGATCACGTGGGAGGGCACAGTCCCCTATCCCATGCCTCCACCTGACAGAGTTGCAGAAGTTGAAAGGAAGCCAGCAACTGGCTCAGGGACCTCCTGCAAAGGGAGACAGAAGGGACCAGGTCTGCCCTGCTCCATACTCCACCCCTTCCGGGAGCTCTGACCTTGCCTCCTGCGAGCCACAGCTGTAGGAACAAGTAGTAACAGCATCCTGTCCCCCAGCTTTCGGCAGGACTAACCAACGCTGTCTCTCTGGAGAAGCCCCAACCCAGGCAGCTAGGTGGGCAGCCGTCAGGGTGTGACCCTGCACACACCAGGCTCCGGCTCAGAGGGAACCACTCTGCCCTGCTCATGGGGACAACTGAGCAGGGCCAGTGACACTTTAGGGGACACTCCCTTCCCATCTCGCTGGGCTTCCGGTCTCTCCATGAACCCCATCACCCCATCAGCCCAGTGGGGGCTCCCACAGCAGATTCTTTGGGCGGTACAACCAGGGAAAGCCTGGCTCCTGACACGTCAGAGGGGTGGGGGGGAAGCGGGAGGGGCAGGGGAGATGACGCAGGTGCTGACAGGGTAACCTCTGGGATGACTGCCAGCACAGGCTTAGGCTAAAAAGACAGTGCCCCGGCAAAGGGACACTGCCCCCAGGCAGAAGGGATTCTAGGACACGAGGGGCGGGTTTCAGCAGCACCTTTGGGAAAAGGGTTCAAAATAAAAAACAGATGGAGCTGCCCAAGGGCAAGGTCAAGCCTGCCTCCTTCTCTGAACAGACCACAGGCTATGCCCCAGCTCCCAGCCTTCTCTTGGAGAAGTCACCAACTCCAGTGTGCCTCTGACCCAAACTCTAGCAGCATGAAAACGGTACCTTGAGTTCCCCCTGAAGAAAAGTCCTGGGGCACACCGCAGTGTGTGGACCCACTCAGCAGACAAGAAGCATAACACTTGACTCTAAAAAGACCCTGCTCCTGGAAGCCCCCAGCCACAGAAGGCTAGGGAAAGGAGGGGAGCCAGGGCACAAAGAACATGAGCGAAGAGCGCAGTAAACAGTTTGCAATGTCTACACACCCCCAACAATAAGAGGGAAAGGACTTCCCCGATGGTCTGGTGGTTAAGACTTGGTACTTCTGACGCAGGGGGGATGGGTTTGATCCCTGGTTGGGGGACCTAAAATACCACAGGCTGTGTGCCGTGGCCATATAAATAAATTAAATCTCCAAAAAAGAGGGGAAAGGGAGAAAAGGAATTCTGTTTCAGCTGGCTTGTAACACGTAACACAGATGAGAAGACCAAGCCTCTGAGGCGGCTCTGCAGGAGATCCCTCCAAGTAGTAGCAGGGCCTCAAACCCAGGTGTCCTGACTCCCAGCTCAAGCGGGTTCACGAACCCCAATGCCGGGCATCCCAGGCCTGGAGAACTGGCCCATCTAGACAGTAACGGGGCTGGCAACCCACCCTGGAGAGCAGTGCCTTCCACCAGCACCCAGGCCCCCAAGAGCTCCCTCAGCAAGCCAGGGAGTCAGCAACTTCCTTAAACATCCAGTGACCTCGTTCTGTCCCTCTGGAAAATGGGGAAAGGCTCTCATCCCTTTCCTGGCCTGGAGGGATTTTGGAAGAAGGCAGGGAACAGCATTTCATACTCCTCCCCGTGACGCTGATGACCCCTCCCCACCAAGGACGGTTTCCCATGATCTATTTCTGTGCTCTTACGTGACTAGCAAGGCCAATTTAGGTTCGACAGGTTCTACCACAATGCAGACAGCATTTCCACATGTGCGAGCTGGGGATGACTCTCACCTAGCAATTTTCCCAAC